TCACTCTTTCTCTCTCAAATAAATAAATAAATAAAAGGGCACACCATATACCTGGGGAAACTGGGTCAGGAGGCCAACACTGAGACACAATCTAGTAAAAGTACTGGACTTCAACAAAAAGAAAAACAAAAACTTTGGCTACACCAAGTCACTTACAAAGGCAAGAAAAATAAGATTTCTATCAAACCATATGATATTTTATGCCAGAAGACAATAGAGACATATTTAAGACACTTAATATGAGGTAAACCTTTTATATCCAGCCAAACTGATTTTCAAAAACAAAGACCATAGACAAACAGTTATGAAGATGTTAAGGAATCAGGGACTATTCTCTCCATGAGCCCTTCCTAAGGAATCTACTAGAGAAGAGAGCTTCAGATGACCAGTGAGTGGAGAGATACTGGCATGAGGAATTGTAGCAATGTTCAGCAATGATGGATTACATCACCAAAGAAAATAATCATTAGATATCTCTTCCTAATGGAAATGTGCACCATCACCTATGAAATAATCTTGTCAAAAACACCAAATATGAATCTGATCAAGCCTGCATCTACTAATTTACAGGAAATACAAAGAACAGAGGAACACATTAAATGACAAAATTTATAGTGGGATACTCAGCAGGACAAAGGACCTGGTCTCTTTAACAACAAAATTGCAAGAAAAAAGAGATATATTAAAAAGAGACTTCCGAGGGGCGCCTGGGTGGCTCAGTCATTTGACCATCGGACTTTTGGTTTTGACTCAAGTCATGATCTCAGGGTCATGAGATTGAGCCCGGTGTTGTGTTCCATGCTCAGTGGAGAGTCCGCCAGAAGCTTCTCTCCCTCTACCCCTTCCCCCACACACGTGTGTGCACACATTTGCACTCTGTCTCAAATAAATAAATCTTTTTTAAAAAAGAGACTTCAGAGGCTTATTAACCAATTGCAATGTTTATGATCCTGATTCAAATAGATGGTATAAAATGTCTAAGACAAGAGGTTAAATGTGAACACTAGTAGATAACTGGTATTAAGGAATTGTTTTGTGTGTGTGTTAAGGTATGAGAATTGTGTAATGGGAAGATTTTTACCTTTTCAAGATATATACTGAAGTATGTACACATGAAATATGACTATGATTTGCTTCAAAACAGGGAGTAGTGGATGGGAGTACAGAGGAAATAATTGTGAGTTGATAATTATTGACATTGGGTGATGGGTATATGGGGTTCATTCACTCTGCTTTTGTATATGTCCAAAATATTTCATAATAAGGTTTTTTTAGTACCAAGAAAAAGGTGTTTTTCTCTTTTCTTGATATCAGGACACTATAAATCCATGACTAGAAAATAGCTTCCAACAAGACTCATTTTATTTTTCTTTAATATATGTTAAAAAGGAAAAAACAAAACAAAAAACTAAGTCTTCCGCTGCCCACACCCAGACTGTTCCCAGAGGCAAATTCTGTTACCATTTTTTGGTATTACCACCTTTTCAGAGTTAAATATAAACATGCATATTATTCCTTGACTTTTGGCCATTATAGAATAGACTTTACTATTTTTATTCTCAAGTTTTTATCTCCTTCTCTTATTGAGATTCAGAACTTGCTAAAGAGCACAAAGTCTTGGTTGTTACAGAAAGGACAAAAGTAGGGGATGGGGGAGTTGGGAAAGCTGGTCAAAAGGTACAAACTTTTATAAATAAGTACTAGGGATATAATGTATATGGTGACTATAGTTAACACTACAATATGGTGTATTTGAAAGTTGCTAAGAGAGTAAATCCTAAAAGTTCTCAACACAAAGAAAGAAAACTTTTTTTGGTATCCATATGAGATGATGTTAACTAAATTTATTGTGGTAGTTATTTCACAATATATGGAGGTCATTATGCTATATACCTTAAATTTACAGAGTGCTCAATGTCAACTTTATTGCAATAAAACTGGAAAAAAAAAAAACCCAAAAGAAATAAGGAAAAAATAACTAGAGTAAGGGGGCGCCTGGGTGGCTCAGATGGTTAAGCATCTGCCTTTGGCTCAGGTCACTATCCCAGGACACTGGGATCGAGCCCCTCATCGGGCTCCCTGCTTGGCAGGGAGCCTGCTTCTCCCTCTCCCTCTAACATTCCCCGTTTGTGCTCTCTCTGTCAAATAAATAAATAAAATCTTAAGAAAAAAATAACTGGAGTAAGTAGATACTCTAAATGTTAACATATCTGCTTTCATAGTTAGGAAATCTTAGAAACCATGGTTTTATTTTTTCATTTATTCAACCTATATTAGTTGCTAGACAGATTCTGGATATTGGGATTTTTTAAAAGTAGAATTTAAAAAACATACTGTATACTGGTTTTTTTTTCCCCTCTGTAGAAACAAACAAAATTTCTTTTTTTTTTAAAGATTTTATTTCTTTATTTGACAGAGAGAGAGCACAAGCAGGGGGAGAGGCAGAGGTAGAGGGAGAAAGAAGCAGGCTTCCTGCTGAGCAGGGAGCCTGACATGGGGCTCGATCCCAGCACCCTGGAATCATGACCCGAGCCGAAGGCAGCCGCTTAACGACTGAGCCACCCAGGCACGCCACAAAAAAATTTCTATAAAAGTTATACCTATAATTTTTCCAAAGGATGATACAGATAAATTGGCAAACCACAGGCCACATCAGCACAACTTATAAACTATAAGAATTGAGAATGCCTAGAGCATGTAGGACAAAGTAATCATTTTCTTTAGACCATAATATATTGATAAAGCTTTATTGACCAAAACTTCATTTCACAAAACCTTGTTTCCTTCTAAAACAACCACCAAGAACACACATCTATACATAGTCATATGAAGGTCAAGAAGGGTAAAAAAAAATTTTTCCTTAAGCAGTAAGGCAATATTTTAAGGCTGATGATTTTTATTGCTTAGGTCTAAATGTTGAAATCTTTGCTACTCTCAAATTATTAGAAATAACTTAAAAATATTGTCCATGAAAATAATGCCTCTGAGGCATGTGAATTTGTTTTATTGTGTAGACTAAATAAATGGAATAAAAGTAATTTCTAAAATTTTCTATCATATACATACATATACTTGTATGTGCATATGTAGTATACATAATATATATTTTGTATATACAATATATGAATATAAAAATTTAGTATATATAAGTATATTAAAGTTATTATATAAGTATATAGTTATGTTATTATATATCTATATATATAATCACTTAATCCTCCATTACCCAGATGATTTCTTCTGAAGAAATATGTGTTTGAGGCCACTAGGTAACCCAGTAATATTTTTCTTATTTAAGGGGAAAGGAGCATAACCTTCTTCTTGATGCTAGGCTAATCATGAATAACAGACAATCCCATAAGTGAAAAGAATTATGGAGCCAATCCTGATGATACAAATGCACATTTTCAGTTACCTACCACCTGAGAACTATATTTACAGTTTGGGAGTGCCTGGGTGGCTCAGTCAGTTAAGCATATGAATTCTGCTCAGATCATGATCTCGGGATCCTGGGATTGAGGCCCGCATGGGGCTCTGAACTCAACGGGGAGTCTGCTTCTCCCTCTCCCTCTGCCCCTCCCCCACACTCACGCGCTCTCTCTCTCTCTCTAATAAATAAATAAAATATTTTTTTAAAAGTGGTTCAAACATTATTTCTTTTTTTTTTTTAAAGTTATCTATTTATTTATTTAAGAGAAAGACAGGGAGAGAGCATGCGGGGGGGGGGCGGGGGGAATGTGGAGGAAGGGCAGAGGGAGAGGGAGAGGAAGAGAGAGAATCTCAAGCGGACTCCCTGGTGAGTGTGGAGCCCTAAGCGGGGCTCGATCCCATGACCCTGAGATAATGACCTGAGCCGACTGAGTCACCAAAGCGCCTCCAAACATTATTTCTATTTTTTTTTTTTAAATCTTTTCGCATGGCAGGCTGCTAGCACCAATGTCTTTTTTTTTTTTTAAGATTTTATTTATTTGTCAGAGAGAGAGCACAAACAGGGGGAGCGGCAGGCAGAGGCAGAGGGAGAAGCAGGCTCCCTGCAGAGCATGGCGAGCCTGATGCGGGGCTCGATCCTAGGACCCTGGGATCATGACCTGAGCCGAAGGCAGACGCTTAACGACTGAGCCACCCAGGCGCCCCAGGAATATTCTTTCTTCTGACACTAATCATTCGAATAGCCTAGTTTCCAAAGAGTTTTTTTTCCATACATGATATCATCCAATCCTTCCTACAGCCACCCAAATAGTACTACTCTCATTTTTAGAGAAAAGAAAACTGAACATTGGTCCTGAAACCAAGTCCCACACTATTCCCATGAAACTGAGAAGGGACAGAATGAGGAACAAATCCTTGGAAGCAAGTCATGTTTTAAATATTACAATTTGTGGGTTATATTTCACAGGCTTTCAATAAATTAGAAGGGAGTTGATTTTAATCCCATGTGTACTCATTCTGAAATAATTAAAAACCATATTCATCTACTTACTCATCCAAGCCTTTATTAAATACCCACCATATGCACAATCTGGTGCAAAATATTAAAGGAATACAAAGATGAATTTTAAAATGGTGCCAACTCTCAAAGAGTTTACAATCTAATTATAGTGACAAATAGTTTTAACACAAACTGTAGGAAGGAATTATAAGGAAACATGTGCCCTTGAGAAAAATCACCTTATTTCTTAATTTAAAGCATAAATTTCCAGCTGGGAAACACTGCTATTATAAAACACGTTAATTAGTTCATGCTCTTTAAAGGAGGTTGTTTTTAGAAAAGAAAATGTCTTATCCTATCACATCTTTATGTCTGGTTTGAATTTTTAAAACAAAAATTTGCTTAAAGAGGAAAAATGATAGATTCATACATCACACACAGAAAGACAAAATACATCTGCAATAATGTATAAAATTTGAGCACAACTGGGTCTAGTATTAAAGAGTTAAATCTGAATTACTTTGGAGATTTGCCTCAGACAAGTTATTATGCACAATTTCATCATATATACAACGGTGTTGATATTTACCCCCAATTAAGATTATAACTCAGATATTTATAATTACTTCTGTCATAATACATAGGGTTAAAAAAAACCTGGTATAAAAACTTTTCTAATAATTTACATATCAAAAATAATTTGGAATAAAACTAGGGATAAAAAGAAAAAGTCATGATAGTGTGGATAATTTAACAGCAAACAGTGCAGAAATGAACACCAATTTTAAGTACCTATTTTTTCCTATATTTTATTACTTTTTACAAAAATGGCTCAGATAAGAAACTTAACATGCCCAGTAAAACAAGTGTGAGGATTCATTCTGTGAGATGTATTGCAGAGGAAAAGAATAGGCAAATAGTATAATTTAAAGCTATTTATTGATTCAGACTTCCCAGAAAAATTTTTTCAAATCGCCAAAAGCCAATACTTCTCTCTGCTCTCGATGCCATGCCATTTGTTTCCGCCCCAAATAAGGAAGTAACATATACTGTTATAACTAATCAGTTTGTGACAACTATGATTCTCAAATGCTTTTTTAAAAATACAAATAAGGTCAAAGTTGCAAACCATATGGAGTGATTAAAAACCTGACTAGGCAAAGCCTTACGCTAACCGACCCCACAGCCTTTCGGCTTGACTTGGCCTTTTCAGGCTACAGATGACTTTGCCCAGGAGCCCTGCACCTACTGGAGGGCTCTCATGGATGTCCTGAACACCACAAGCACGTACGCTAAGGCCCGCGGCTGCCCTCAGCTCAGGCACCGACAGGCGGCCCGCTGAGTCCGTGTTACCCCTTAACAGCTTGCTCTTCTCTGCTCTCTTCATCAGTTTCCTCTTTTTCCTTGTACGAATCCTGGCTGTTCGTATCAGTAAAATGATTTTCTTCCCCATTCTCTCTTTCTTCTATTTTTTCTTCTTCATCAAAGCTGGAGGAAGAAATTTATCAATCTTTCCAAGGAAAAATGATTTGGTTTAAAGATCAACAAACCCTTTGCAACGTATGCCATCACGCAGTCTTCCTTCCTCAAGTGTATGAGCTCCGATTTATCAAGAAAACTCTACAAAAGTGCCAAGTGGGAACTAATCTATTTCAAGCCTTGATTGACTCTTTAAACTTCATTTGAAAGCATCTTATTATTTACATCATTTATGTCAGTCAGAAAGTTAAATCATTCTGCTTTACTTCATCACCATGTAATATTTTGAATGTGCCAAGTGTTAAAATGTCAATGTTTTACAACAGTTCGCATGCATTTTGTTAGGTTAAAAGATCTTTTAAAAATATAGGACAGAATTTTATGCTTTCTGGCAGGTAAGAATTCGTTCAAAGGTAAACCATTTAGACATCTTATATATGTTACCTTTCTTTATCTTCAGTGAAACTCTTCCTCTCTTGATTGCTGAAGTACTCAATTATTTTTCCACTTTGGCCTTTCTTTGAAACAAACTCATCAGATAGTCCTAGTGCTTTTAGGGTGTTAGAATAATGCTTTTCTGCTGCCATTCTTGCATTTTTCTATAGGAAAGACAAACCTTTTTAGAGGAGAACAAAAGACTTTAAATTTCCATTAAAAATGTATGGGTTAAAAGCTCCAGTGAAAATTAAATCCAATAATCACAGTTGGCTGACTGTATGCAGACCTTCTGACCAGCAATCCCACTCCCAGGCATCTACGCAGAGAAGCTCCTACGTATGTGCCCGAGAAGACCTGTACCAAAATCCTCGGGACAGTACTGTTTGTAACAACCCCAAACTGGAGACAACGCAAATATCTCTCAACAATAGGATGGATAAATAGTGGTCTATTCATACAACAGAATAAAATAAAGCAATGACAATGAATGGACTCTAGTTGTACATGACAATATGGATGGATCTCATGAACATACTACTAAGCAAAAGAAGCAAAACACAGGAGCATACATATAGTATGTATGATTCATTTACATAAAGTCCCCAAATGGGTAAAACCAAACTATACTGTGTAGGGATACACAGTAGGATGGTAAAACTGCAAAACACAAACAACAATAATAACAAAAACAAGGAAATACTAATTTCAAAAATTAGAATGGTGGTTACCTCTAGGGGAGTGGGAGAGGGTTTTGATCTGGGAAGGGCACAAAGGGTTTCTGGAGTGCTGGCAATGTTCTGTTTGTTAACCTAGGTAGTAGCCACATGAGTTTTGGCCTATAGTTTATTCTTTACACTATACCTGTTTTATATACTTTTTAAAAAATACTTTTATGACTGTTGAAGACTATCTGGAAAAACCAGGGAGAAAATAAGTTTGTGATAGTTGTCAGATGGTTCTTTTAGTTTATGTACCTACTGTAATTTTTATTCTTTACATACCATATCTCTAATCCATCAAAGATGATAAATTCATCACTGTTGTTATCTTTACTCTGGAGGAATCAATGGATACAGCAAAAAGAACAAGAATTTAGAACTCGGTTCAAGTCTCCAGAATGTTGTTTCCTGACTTTGGGACCTGTGAAATTGTGATGACCCTCTCACATCTGAAGCAAGACAGGAGTCATCACAGTTCCTGAGAAAACAGGCTTTCCAGGGTCAGTCACAGGATGACTGGGGTTCACACTAGTGCCTCAGCTTTGGTCACCTTTTACCTCCTATGAGTATAGGGCCAAGAATTGCCATCTGGACCTCCAAATGAAGCAAGGTGACTTGGAATGGGCCAGTTCCAGGGCACCAATTGCACCCCATATTGGAAAAGGTGTGGGAGAGCACCCAGTGTCACCCCCAGATTTAACAAATAAGGAAACCAAAACACTCCCCACTGTCACTAAGGTTAAGCAGTTTGCTTAAGGTCATAAGGATAGTGAGTGGTAGAACCAAGTCTCTTGACCATTTCCTGGGTCTTTTCCACTGCACCATGCTGCCTTCTCTAAGTAGTAGTGCTCATCCCGGAGTTTGAAGGTAGCTTAAACCTGACTCCAGCAATGCAGGTGTCAGATATTTATTTGCCTAAACTAGGGACTCCAGCATAATGAGGGACTATAGCATCTAGTGTTCCACGGGAGAAACCAAAATAGCAAAGACCGATTACAATGGATAAACCATCAGCAGTGATTTCCTGATGCTCTGGAAAACTGAAAACGCACTCAAACTGTTGCTAAAATGCACCCACTATGAATAAAAACGATTTTTAGGGGCGCCTGGGTGGCTCAGTTGGTTGAGCGACTGCCTTC